AATAGCTCGCCTGCTTTCTGTAACGTCCAGCACACTTCCACAGCGGAGCTGGAAGGCTGAGCATTGTGTTTCCCGGCTCTCTTCTCTCTGGTGGGAAAAGGCTTTGCTGGCTGAGCCTTTTATTGTAGTTCATCCTATTAAATCGCCTTCTTTTGTTGTTCTCTGAACCCTCTGTAATGCCTGTGCACTTTTCAGCAGGTTTAGTGAAAAGCAGAACTTCACACTGTATCTCTAAAGAGCTCTGACCCCAGTCACTTCCACTGATGAACAACGGCAAATTAAAAGATTTCAGCGTTCCTTCACTGCCTCAATCGTATGGACGAGTTCCTATCCCTCCTGCCTACAGTGCTTATCAGAAAAATAAAATACAGCCACTTTCCCGTGAGAATTTGTCAAACCTCTGAGGTGAAAGTAAGGAATTACCTCAAGCAACATTTGCAATATGATACATAAAAAGATGAGGAAAAAAAGCCAGTTAAATACAGTAACATGTGGTAAAAGAGTAACATACTGAATACATTGAATTTCTAAAATAGAGAGGGAAAAAAGAGTTAATACTTTTTCAGTGTTCTGTGGGGAGCTTTGAAATACTATCTCTGTACCAACATGAAGGATTTGTTCAAAACATGCATTGATCATATAGTCCTATGGGGAAGAGAGAAACTACATACCAGCTGCAAGCAATTTCTTATCTTGTGCTTAAACCAGCAGTAAAAGTGGGAGTTGCAATGAAAATAAGAACAGCTAAAGGAGACTGCTGTTTGGTAAACAGCTTATTTTCTTGCAACAGAAATCTGAATGGCCAATAGATTAGAAGAAATCGTTAGACCATAGTTGTGTCTTCTTTGAAAGCAAGAGAGATAATAATACAGGTTTTTAGCAAGCTGTTTTTCTACAATAGTCCCTTCAGAAAGGGTTTTTCAGTCTAGATATTGTTCATTCTTCTAACTACAAAGATAAAGTTGTAGGTATTACTAAAAATATCTCTGGTTGATTTTCCCACCTCATGCTGACAGTGATACAACAGCAGCCATAAAACAAAGCCATACAACAAAGGAGATACTGCAATGGGCAATAAGTGACCCACACTGAAATTGTCTGCCAGGTCATTCAGTGAAAATCATCATCGCACATTTTCTTTAACCACATACATTCTGTTTCCATTGCGCATATCACTAATGCACCTCACCTTCACATTACATAACCATAGGTGCTTGACAAGGATGTGAATTTCTGTGGGAGAGTGTTCCAGCAATCTATGGCAGTGTCCTGCTAAATCAAGAAGTCTCGTTAACACAAAGCGCACGCGCTTAAGGGAGCAAAACAGTTAGCGGATAGCCCAGACTGGCACCAGAAGGATTCTGCTGTCAGCACTGATTCAAACCAAAGATTTTTCCCAGGTAGAGACTGTTTTCATTGATGATACCACAGAGCCTAGCAGATAATTTTAGCTCTGTATTCCCCCCAGCCCACAGTTTCCAAATGTTCATTGCTTATAGAAAGTCGTGCTGTCTGAATTGTGAGCCCGCTTTCAGCAGAGAAGAGTGATTACGAATAAGCATTGCAAAAGCTACATACACACATAAATATTTAATCTGGCATTAACTGTGTTTCTCTGATGAGCCATTTAAATGTATCCTTGTTGTACTACCCATTTAAAGATGGATCTTCTCAAAGTGATCATTCACTTAAGCTCCAAAAAAAATTGGCCTTTGTGCAGGTTTCCATTATGTGAGTGCTAACCAGGCTTGGCAAGAGGTCCACAGAGGGCTGACAGAGCTTTGTCTCCTTTGCTTTATTAGGACTTTTCCAAGCCCACAGAATTCCTGGGTGTGGTTGATGTGATTTCCTGCCTTTTTGTGCTGTGAAGGTATCAGGGGCACTTCTGAGCATAAAAGTTCCTGTTTAACTCAGGGACAAGATTTTTTGGTGGAGTGAAATCTGGCCATGCAGAGCTTTGCTTGGTGAGCTCTGTTTGGAAAATGCTGCTTTTGACACATCTCTCAGAATTTGTGGGTGAGTAGCAGACACAGGAATGTGCCACCCTCTTCCTGCTTAGGAGAGGAGCCTTGACATGGAAATTCTCCTCAGTGGATGCTCTAAGACTACACTGATCACATGCCCAATTTTCCCTCAAAATATATTTTCTGTTAATACCTTGACTAATTGTAGATGTTTGAGTTTTAGTTCTTTCTAGACACTTCTTTTTTCAAAATGAAGCTTGTACTAGAACAAGTTAGCTGTACCACAGTTTCTTACACCAACCTCATCTTTGCAAGGTGAATTTAATAACTAGTAATTATTATAGAAACAGAATTTTAGAAAATCCCATGAATAAAGTAACAATTATTACTCAGAGTAGTAATTAAAGGGAAATATCTTGACCCTATGCAATTCTTGCAAATTGCGTAGAAGAAATAATGTTCTATTAGAATAAGTTACACCATCAAGAATGAAATTCTTTCCATCTGTGAATGAAAATATGGGATTAGAACAGTTTGTGAAAGCACATTACAGGAACTGAATTTAGATGGGCTTTGTTTCTGAAATCCTTGAAGGTTCAGTTGGAGTTGGATTTAATTTTCCAAGAAATAAAACTATTTAAATACAGTAAATATTTTCCTGGGGAAATTCATAACCCCATAAACAAGCCTGTTCTTGTGGGAATTTCCAGCACTTCAGAGCTGAGTAGGTTACATAGCTTTGTTCTACGTTTTTGGATGCTTTGTCAATCTGACCCTTCGAAAACAAAATGCATCAGCATTAAGATCTTCCAAGCCAAATTAGGAATCAGAGAATTTTAGAGTTAGGCAATCCCTGTCTTGCTCTTAGCTTGAGTATTTCATACATTTTTACTTCCCATAGTTTTGGTCCTGTCTGCCAGCTCTGTAGTGCAGAGCTACAAGGAGGTCCTACACATGCATACATAGATGAGAAGTAGCAGAGAACGACCATTTTCCATCCCTGTTCTTTTCCTTACACTGGAAGAAGGGCTAGGAACAAGAAAATTAATCAAAGGGCCAGGTTTCTCCTGAGAACACAGGCTACTTTATTTCACTGAGACACTTGGGATAATGTACATTTTCAGCTCTCAGAGAGTTTCCTCTGCCAGTTTGTCACTTGGCCAACAAAAGGACAAAGCTGACTGCCCTTTCAGTGCCTGCTCAAGGCACTCTGGGGCCCGGAACAGTGCTTTCTGCATTGAACATTTCAGAACTGAACACAGCACAACTGGCCTAGCCTGCTGATTTGTCGTGATAGGTGTCTGTAGCTAGGGAGCCTTCTCCTATAAGAAGCGTCAAGAGCTACAAATGGCCTTTCTTTCCCCTAACTCTTATTGTGATTTAATTACAGTTACTGTTCTCTGCGTGAGTTTTTTTCTACATGCATAGACGTGGCCTGACTATGAAGGAAATGGATTTCAGTCATCTTGATCAGGAGTGTAGGAAACGCTTCCCATGGCTCAGTGCCACGCACTGCCGTTTGTGTTTCTTTTGTTGCATGAATTACGTAAGACTCTGAGCTCCCCAGCAAAACAGGGCTACCATCACGCAGCCGCTTTCGTGGGATGTCTGTCATTTCCCCCCAAAGGCCTGCAGTGTTATTAGACACGACAGATAAGAGGACACAAAAACAAAGGAAAAGAGAATGGAAGTGACTCACCTGTGGGCTATCAGCTACCAGCGCACAGAGGATGGTGGTGGGAGTCACAATGGCCTGTGACACAGCGGTGCTGCAGCATTGCATCCCTCGCCACAGGGTGTCAACCCGGAGGAGGAAAAGTAACCTGGATGCCCTTAAGGCAGAAGAGCCCCAGTTGGAGAAAAACCTTCTTACCAAGCCAGACGAGAGTTCAAATAAAAACCAGAAGCCACATCCCCACACAGTGCCTTTACTTACTGGTAGCATGTTGAGGGCTTTACTTGGACTTCTTTGATTTTTATACTTCTGGTGCTCTGTGTAGATGCGGCTTTATCCCTGAGATCAGGCAGTGCTTTTCCCCGTAACTGTCAGCACCCTGCGTAAGCTGTCACTGCCCAAGCACAGGCCTAGCACAAGAAAGACTTTATCTGGTGCACTAATACAGATTTGACATTTTTTTCCAGCTCTGTTCAGGTCACTAATGAAAAGCCTAGGAAGTGAGCACACATGAAATCATTCCTTCCGTACAAGCAGACAGATGGAGAGAAACTCCAGCCTGTTTCCACTCTTTTGTCTTCAGGGCATTTTTGGAATTTCCTTCAGGAAGTGAGGTTGCGACCCAAAGCCTTCCTTACTGAGCAGGCTGCAGTTTCCCACAGTAAAGCTTGCACAGTGATGACATACACTATGAGAAGGTGAGCTTTATCTTCGCTCTCCAACTGCATCCTGTACAAGTGCCGTGAAACTTAAAAGCAAGACTGAGCGGGAATGGCAGCAAGAGAGGAAATGGAAGTCAGGCTTTGGGAAGAAGTCATGCATCATGTATTCAAGCAGACGGTCGCAGTGTGTACTGCTGCACCAGGTGGAGCTCCAATTGGTCTGCTTCTTATGTATTTCCTGATATTGCAATAAGCTAAGAATTAAGGTTATGAAGTGTATAAGTGATTTAAGCTAATAATTTCACTTATTCTGCTCCAGGTGGTCATGGCAACATTGGCAGGCACCTATTTATTTTTTTTTTCTACTTGTATTCCACTAGCAGTTGGGAAAAAAAAAACAACACATTTGTAGGCGTGCTACTGTAAGGATTCTTCTAATGGCATTTCATTGATACAGTGCACACCCATCAAAGATCACAGTATAGAATTCATTTTGTATCTTACATGACCTTGCCAGTGGCAGCATGCATCTTAGGTCTCCACCAACCAGAAAGACATCCACAAAAATAGCTTAATCCAGATGGTACTGAAACCAAGGAATCATTTCCATGAGTTCTGTCAACAACTTCCATCAACATTACCACACCCAGTGCCAAATCCCCACAGCAGTACCAAAGTACCAGTACTGTGATAACAGAATCTTTACAAAAATCAGTTTATTAATGTTTAGAAGTCAATAAAGCTATGTGCAAATTGAACAACAGAAGTCAGAAACATATTAAATACTATTTTTTAAACCAGAAAAAAAAAAACAAAAAACAATTTAATTGCACTGGAAATTTTACTACAAAAGCAATAATTTTTATTTTATTTTTTTTTACAAAATACCACTTCTAGGAGTTGTCCGTAACTGTCAATCAGTCAGTTGCTCTCAGCTATCCCAGATATACCACTTTTGTTATAGTAATACTCTAGGTGCGAAGACTCCTGTATCTCATTAACTTATTTACATTGTACACATTCAACCCCATTAGCACAGGTTAGAAAACCAGAGAAGTCAAAACGATACTGTAAAACAAATACATTCATTTTAATGACAGGCACTTCTCCCATGAAGCCACGAAGTGATAGAATACAAACAGATTTCCTGCAATTATGAACATTAATAAAATGTGCCAAAATGTGTTGCATTTTGTTATGGAAGTGCATTTATCTATAGTCATTTCACTTGAAATCTTACGTTTCTGAAACTCAAGGCTTTCTTTTCAGGCGATGAAACCAATCTTTACTTTTTGCCTTTGTCACCTGACACTAACCTTTGCCTTCAGTTTTTAGCTCTTTTTACCTCAGTAAAAATCCTGCTGCTGCCAACAGCATTTTATTCTAGTAGATTTACTCTCTGTCATCTTTATGAGGTGACTTTCAGTTCCACCTCGCATTTTGTCACAATAATGCAGTTTATTTAATGCTATATAACAACATGGCAAACAACGCATGGGGCCAAATGCTGCTCTGAGTGATTCCATGAAATCTGATACAGTCATGGAACTGTTTAAGTGAGTGTAATTACAGAGCCTGCTCTTGGTCTTCAAATGTAATATGGACCACCAACAAAAATTCACAGCTATGATCTTGCTAAATAAAACTCCAACAGCTTTGGACTCTGCAAATAAAACCTTATTATTTAACTAAAAGCTCTGGAAGGTGATGTCAAATTATGGCTGCCTGTGGTATAAATTATACCTGCACGATCTCTTTCCTTGTTATGTGTTAAACAAACACTTCTGACCAACTATACGAGCCATCACTAAACCCAGTACAGAAAGAGCTTTGTGTCAGTGGTTTGCTGCAAGTAAAGGAAAAATAACTTCACATTCTTCTCACAGGGCAAAAAAAAAGAAAAAAAAAGATTCATTCTCCCTTTGCCTCTTCCCCAACTCTCATTCTCTTGCACACACCAGGCATCACTTCCCCAAGGCATCAGTCTTTCAGAGTTACTAAGGAGATCTCAGGATATGAATGCGCCTGACAATCCTGAGCTGCCCCAATGCAAAGACAAAACATGCTCCGGGGAAATGGATTTTCAAGCCAGAACAGCGTGTCCCATTTCTTGAACTCCAGCCTCGCAAGTGCACCATTGGCCTCGTTAGAACTAATGCTACTCGCTCCTCAGCCCAGCACTGCTGCAGCGAGCAGGAGGTGCCTCGGCTCCCAGTTTCAGAGGAAGGCTCTAAACACCTCCACGGTCACTCCTTAAGAAGATGAGGTAACGTTGCCTGAAGACATGATGGTTTCAGGACGGTCGCCTTCCTCCTTCTGTGGGTGGGAGGAATTGTCGGACTTACTCCGGCTGAACTCCATCCCTCCGATGATTGGCCTCTTGAATTTAGTCCCCGAGTCTGTGGGGGGACATTTGCAGCAGCACAGAATCTTGATGAAAGCCCTTCGCATTTCTTTGTTAGTTAAGGTGTAGATGATAGGGTTCGTGGCTGAATTGAGCACAGCCAGCACTAAGAAATACTCTGCTTTATACAGGATCGGGCAAGTCTTCACTCTACAGCCCACATCCAGTAAAAGCAGGATGAACAAGGGAGCCCAGCAAGCAATGAAGGCACTCAGGACTATGATCACTGTCTTGAGCAAGGCTAGTGACTTTTCTGAGCTCCTGGTAGCTTTGGTAATGTTTTTTCGAAATGTCAGCCTCCGGCTCCTAGTCCTCACCATGGAGTAGATCCTGCAATAGAGGACAACAATAGATAGCAACAGGCCTGTGAAAACTGTGGTGCAAAAGAGAATATAGTGCTTGTGGTAGAGTGGCAGCACTGTGGAGCAGTTTGACAAGAGGCTGATGCAGTTCCAGCCCATGATCGGGAGTCCTCCGAGTATCACAGAGATAACCCAGCAGGCACTGATCAGAAGGAAAGAGCGGAAGCTGTTGCTGCCGTTGTGGAGCTTCATTTTCAGCATGGTGATGTATCTCTCAATGGCGATGGCCAACAAGCTGAACACAGAAGCTGACAAGGCGACAAACATGCTGCCCTCCCTTACGAACCACTGGGAAGGAGTGAGGCTGTAAGTTTTGTGTCCGGAGAGCAGGAGGTTGGCGGTGTAAGCCACGCCAGCCAGCAAGTCTGAAAGAGCCAGGTTCCCAATGAAATAGTACATCGGTCTGTGAAATTTCTTGGTTTTCCAGATGGTGAGCAAGACAAAAATGTTCTCTAAGATTATAAAGCAGCAAATGATGATAAAAACCACCGACGTCACTTTTATTCCACTGTCCGCATTCTCATTTAGCTTTCCCGTGTAATTATAGTGCTCTTTGATGACATAGTTGACGTCGGTGTTGGCGAGGCTGCTGACCACCCTCACTGGGGCGGTGGTGCCGGAGCTCATGGTGCCAACAGACACGCAGCACAAACCCGTGGCGGCCCCGCAGCTCCCAGCGCTCCTGCACACGCTCACAAGCAGCAGTCCTGAGAACAAGAGGCAAAGCCTGTGTTAGGGGGTGGCAAAAAAGCACGTAACAAACTAGAAAAGTTCCAAGATGATCTGCTGATTTGATTGTTTGTCAGAATCACAAGTGCAATCACAGAAAAGGCAGTTTTATGCATCTGTTACGATATGCTTAAAAGATAGTTAGGCATACTAAATAGCTAAAGCCAGTAAGACAACTTTACCTGCGCAGGTAAAGCTGGAGTCAGCAGAGACCGCACTGCTGGACTTCTTCCAGCGTGAAAGACCTGAAAGCTGTTCAGCAGCAGGGTCCAGCCTAACTTACTCTTCAGCAGGAAACAGCGCACACACAACAGGGATTTAGAAAGGGAAATGGGCTTGACTTGCTTTAACTGCAGACGCACAGAAGCCTGCAAAGAAATTACTCGACAGGAGAGCTCGATTCGCTTCTGTTCTGAAAGTCTGAACACGTTTCGGGAGGGGCCGGGAAGCAATTTACTGTGCTGAAGGTAATTCAGCCATGTGCAAGAGAGCATCCAGAGCTGTAAACAGGAGAGGTGCCCCGGCCGAGCAGTAGGGGCATGCGCTAGGGAGCTGGGAGAAGTTGAAACAAGTAAATAGCCCGCACAGCAACCTGTTCTGTGGGTCTGACACAAAGGAAAGGAAAAAAAGAACTTTGTGTTGCAAATAGTTAGCATCGTACGCTTTGAAAACGAATACGATTAAGGAATGCAGATGTAGAGGGCACTCCTTTTACGTACGGGCACTTTCTAGTAGACATTTAAAAGGAATTTAAGGTGCGAAATCAGGCAGGAGAAGAGCGTTCAGAGCCATCAAATTACAGCCTACGAGGAGCAAAGCCGGAGGGGCGAGTCCGGCGGCACAGCTCCGCGCTCGGCTGCCGCCCCGCTCCCGGCTGCCGCTCGCCGCAGCCCCGCAGCGCGGCCGCCCGAAGCCCCCCTTCCCGCTCCGCGCCGTACCTCGCTCAGCCGCGCCGCGCCGCCCGCATGCAGCCTCCGCATCGTGAGTGCCGTCCAGCGACTCCAGCGGCCGGCCGGGGCTCGGCAGTTTTAATGTTCCTGAGGCGGAGGCTCCCCACACTTCTTCTTTAACTCCTCCCCACGTACGAGCTCTCCGCCCGCGGGACCTGCACGCCTTTATAGAGCCCGCGGCTGCGGGCGAGAGAGGGGCCGACGAGGCGGGCCCAAAGGGGGCGGGACCGGCCGAGCCGCCGCTCAGTCCCAGCCCGTTCCGTCCCACGGGACGTCTGCCCGGGGAGGCAGCGTCGCGGTCCAGCTCCCGCCCTGCCCATGCTGCCGTCTGCCCCGCTCCGCAGCCGGAGTGGCTCAGCATGGACCGACGGCCCAGAGGACGCGCCTCGTGCCCCGGCCCGGCGCCTGACGGACGCTTGACCAACATCTAAGGAAAGCGCTGATGGTGCTTTCTCAGTCTTCCCACCTGGCCGAGTTTGGGGCTAAAATGGGGACACGCAGGGCCCGGCCAGCGTGAGGTGGCACCGACGCCCTTTGCGCCCTGGGGAACCTGGCTGCAGCGGCACAGCCACACGGAACGGGGCTCTGCACCGACTGATGCCAGCACTCGCCCCTGGGTGAGGGATCATTTTATGCCCCTTGCCACCTTGAACACCACTATTTATTGGGTTTTCAACATAAAAAAAAAAAAAAAAAAAAAAAAAAACAAAACAAAACAAAAAAAAAACACAAAACATCTCTGAATGTTCAGAGAATTCAAAAGGGTTTTGTAAAGAGAAATAAGTTTCAATTTTTTTTTTTAAACAACAGTAGCAGTGCCATTATATAAAGACTGAGAAAGAAATGAGTTTTGTAACTCCTCCAAAAGCACACACCTCAGTGTACGTGATTCTTGGTTACCTTGAATTGCTTTTAGTGCAGAAATTTTCCTCCTCCTTTCTTACTTTGTTCTTTTTAACTCCAAATTGAAATGCAAAATAATAGCACAATGGATCAGAGCACAACGTATCAGTCTCTTAGTCCACGGCCCCACACATCTCAGTGAGCAGCAGCAGTCATTACAGGGAAGCAGCTCTCCTCTGAAAGAGACAAGGGCAGTGCTGCCCTGGGAAGAGTCCCCCTCTTCTCACATTTATGTGAATCCTCATGCTTCAGTTGCTCCACGCCTCTCCCAGAATGACTCAATAAATTACACTGGCAAACAGACGTCGACTCTCCACCACCAAGCTAGAAACTTGAAAAGATGTTCAGCCTCCTGAGAGCCTGGAGGAAAAAGTACAGCCGTTAAATTACAACTGTCAGAAAAGGCATGCAAGATAAATCATGCTCGAGGTTGACATATGCATCCCCTGCAACTGCCCGACATACCCTAGATACTGCAAAGCTTTCCCCTTACTTAGCTAATCTATAGAAAATATTAAATAAAAGCACATTTGTTAGGCACTCTCCTCTATGAAATTTTTCTCTCATAATTTTAAGCAAGAGGGAAATAATAAAGGAACACGCTTTAATTAAAGGACAGAGTGACTCAGGGTTTCAACAGCCAGATGTACAAGCTTTCATGTTTGAGTTATTGGTAAAGCAGCTGAGAGGGCTGCAGCCCAAAGAAGTGATGTCCAGCAAATTATTTGTCAGAGGTTGTGTGAAATGGCTCGGCAATTTCAGTTTGACTCCGAACAGCTGAGCATCTGTATTACAAAAAGCACTGTTAAAATTAGACGATCACACACATCTGTAGCCATGTTGACACGTAGCAGTAAGGATGCTGAAATAGCACTTTCTCCTTTCCAGGCAAAAGCAGCTGATTTTGCTCTGAGGGCCGTGTAAAACCTCAATTCATGCAGATTCATGAGGTTCAGCTGCACAGATTTTAGCCTCCTTGCATGGACTGAATCACACAAACAGGTAAATTCCAGCTGTTCCAACCAACTCTAACAAAAGCACATTGATAGATGCTCATTGAGGAGATTTATGCCAGGATTATACTTCATCCCAATCAACTGAGCCAGAATTCTTGTCTCAATACCTTCCATCTGCCAGATCCAATGTGAAGGAAACTTGCACTTCCACGAAACATATAAAAGAAATCCAGGGTATATAACGCCTTTGAAAACTGAGAATGTCTACAGTCAGAGAAAAGGAGATGGGACAACATAATGAATACATACTCTATTATACTTAAGTTTCTTTGATGAACAAAAAGTCTTGTTTTACATACCCACTGGCTGCCTGTGATAAGCAGTGTTCTTGTGAAACTACAGGAACTCAGTGCAGTGGGCACTCCAGAATCCTGGCTGTTTCGCAGGGCAGTGGTGATAGGATAACCCCGAGGAATCTCCATACATTTAGTTTCAGTGTCTTAACCCAAATCACACAACAATCTGATGCAAGTCAAACTGATCATTTTATGACAATGAAACAACAAAGCTGTGCGTGCACATCTGACAGACTAATCAGTCCCAAGAAAAGGTACTGATATGATCCTTCACAAATTACACAATTTGCGGTGGCAGACTCATCCCACCGGCATGGGGAACAACACTGGGAATTTCAGAGTACTTTATGAAGAGATCATTTAAAAAGAAATACAAAGTAAAGAGCCTGAAAATAAATAAAAAAACTTATCAATGAAATAATCTCCAGCATTAATCCTGGTAACTGTTAATTGAGGAAAAGGAAACAATGCTGTCTTGCAGAAAAATGCAGTAGGGCTATTCCCAAAGCCTGTGTCAGCAGCCTCTGATACCAGCAGAAGATAGCACTCTCACAGTGCTGGCACCAGGACGACTCACAATTGCAACAGATGAGTGTGTGACCATCACCCATCCTGAAAAGAGACAAGAAATCCCCACAAGACAGATTTCAAAAGCATTTTTCCCCAACACAACACCCTTATGCACTTTCAAAAATCTTAATCTATCCATGCAGAAAGTCCTTTTATTCACCCTGACATAGCTTAGACCACAAAACACAGGCATTCCTCTGTGGTGTGCCAGGTCAAGAATGGAGATCCTCGGAATGGAATAGTTTTGCTCACTAAGGAAGCACAAAGAGTGGGCAGCAGAATCCCCCATGTTCCCCTGACTAGAGGAAATTGAAGAAACAATGTAAGAAGTAAGGCATTACAACAGATCCAGAGTTTTGATGCACAGCTGGAACAAAATACTCTATTTTGGATACATTTGTAAATGTTTACATCATACAACTGAGAAGAGAATGCTATTATTACTACATGGCCTAACACCTGCACGCTGAGATTATGACTCCTATAGAAATATCATAACTGAATTATTAATCTGAATGAAGATAATGTGGCATAAATTTAGTACAGAGTATGAAAGCAAGGCCATCTTTATACCATCTCTGATACCGTGAAGCAAGCTTGGTCAGAATCACCTCAAACATAACATTACACAACTGTTTCTAAAGCAGTGCAGACAATCTTCTGAATTAGGATATCTATATGCTACTTTCAGCTCTGTAAGTTTCACCTCAAAGCCAGGTAACTTCTCAGAACTAGGAGATGAAGCACCGGTGACAGTACTCACATAAAGTGCAGGTAGAAATGACAAGTACTAATTGTCATAGAGACAAAAGTACCGACTCGCTCCAATTTCTGTTAGTCACCCAAACAGTTACACACGTTCTGCACATTGTAGCCTGCTCCCATCTGCATCTTGAAGTAACTAATACTTCACAAAATCTGCCAGAGAACAAAGCACAACTAACTTGCTCCAAGGGGTTAAAATAGCACCTTAAATTATGTACATGCAGGTAAAGCAACTTAATTATAATATTTTGATATAGCTTAACCCACACTGGAAGAACATGCCAGACAGCTCTGAGAAAACAGACAAAACACTTTAAGTAAGCATATTTGTATCTGCAAGAAGCAACAAAAACAGAATACAAAATGATTTCATTAGATGGTCAACATGATAGTAAACACAAGTTAGTATTACCAATTTTGATTGTTAATTGGTGTTGACTAGATACTTCGAGTATCCAACAACTTATCCTTCAGTTTAAAATGAATTAAATTTTAAGTTCACCACTTCTGAAGCTGGAAACAATCCGTTTTTAAGCTATGCTTTCCACAATCCATTTATCCATTTATTTTCTGTTGATATTCATGATGTTCAACAATTCCACATCTTCTTCGCTCAGATTAAAATCGAAGCCTGGGTTTGGAAACAAGCAAACAACAGCAACAACAAAAAAAAGCAGACAGTGAGAACACTACAAAGTGAGAAGCACATATGTGTTAAGTAATAGCATTCCATAATTTTAAAAGTTTGTTTTCAAACCACTTACCAATATTTTTAAAAGTTTGACATATTCATTTGTGAGAATTCATATTTTACTTCCAGATCATTAGGTAAAGCTTAATCCCAAGCAAAAAGACTTGAAGTCGTTGGTAATCATTGCACTTAAAGATTACTTTACCACTTCACTATTACCACAAAATCCCAAGACACTGATGTATCTAACATCATACATATTTTTTTCCATATGTATTAAAATGTAGTTGGAGTGACAGAGTAATGAAACTATACTTCAGCATTCAAAAAAAATTCTGCAATTTATTTTTTTATTCCAGTAAAACAGATCAACCAAGTAAAATCCTGCTATATATTTTTTGCTGGGACAAACTAAAGATTTAATGGTCAAGATAATACAACTGAACATGCTATTCTGAAGGAACAGATGTTCTGGCTGAAAAATAAGCAGATTTTGGGCAGATTTCAAATATTACTGATTGATAATAGTGGAGAAAAGCAGAAAAATAAAACCAAACCACTCATGATAATTTTCCAAATTATTCAATGGAACTTGCCCCTGGTTTATACAGTGTTCATGACGATCATGCAAAAATCTCAAAAACTTGAGATAAAAAGAATAGATACTTGCTGTTTCCTTAATATACACATATTATATAAATATAATACAAAATGGTCTTTCTTATTTGATCATCAAGAAAGTCAATTTATACCACAGTGGATGTATGACACTCACAGTTCAGTCTTTTACCAACCTCACCCTGAACCCAAGCCAGCATTTTACCACAAAGTCATCTTGGCAGCAGCATCTTATGGGTACTCAATGGGATTAGTCCAGGAGAACCATTTGGGAAGAACGAATTCACAGAGTAAACAAAACCAAAACAACACAACAATCCTGGCTCTTTTTGTTACCAGGAAATAGAATAATTTTAACATTTCCCTGGTCCCCTTCCCAGTTTCACAGACAAGATAGGAACTTCACAGTAAATCATTATACCAGGATTCTCATCCTGAAATCTCATATAAAAATTCCTGGAAATATATTTTGCCACAGGAAAAAAAATAAAAATAAAAATAGAGCAATCATTAATAGGACGATATCCTTACTAACTTGCTCTTGAATTTCTTTCTGGTATTTCAAACTAGAGAATAGTTCTCAAAGGGCTCTGGTAGACAAAGCCCATACAGAGATCACAGAAGATGAATCCTGGGTAACTGTGTACTGAGATTTGGCACAAGTGAATCTGTGCAAGGTTGCTTAAAGAAGTACCACATAATGTTGGCCACGTCTACCATGAGTTAGCAATGGTAATAGACAAATGGAAACAGGGTCAGAATCACTGATTTAAATTCATTTAAGACTTTACACTCCTCCTCCTTTTTCAGTGAGTAGGCCCTTACAGAAAGTTACTACTATCCTCTAATGTCCTGGTAATTAGCCCTGTGTGACACTGTAGACAAATAAGCATTGATTAAGGACGAAGACTGCATCAACTATACCAGAAGCATGGCTTAGGCTGACTTTAAGGCAGTGCAAATACTTGACGTCTCCTTTCAGAAGCACAGACATCTTGTTTGAGGCTGCAAAAAGTGCCAAAAGGCAAGTATAAAGAAGTATAAAAAATGACTCCCAACACAGCAAGGTTGGCTTTTCTGTTGCTTATACCCAACTCTCTGTAGTCAGAGATGTGTTCCTCTGAGCTCCAAAGCTCTGGCAACAATGTGGCACTGTGGACAGACAGTACTGTTTGCGTTCAGTTAGTATCAGCAAGAGCTACTCCTCTTTTGTCCCTTTTAATCTTGTAAAGTTAACATCAGCTTTCCTCTCAATGTCCTATTGCTATTTTGTCAAGAAAATCATCTGGTGTCAAACACAGCACAAAAAGAGATGCAGATACTAATGCAACTTACTTGGCTTAGTGGCTCTGTGAGCTTACCAGTGTTGCTGTTTCTTTACTGCATGTGCTAATTGAAAGAATAATGTATTCTGGGGGGACAAGTACAGCAGAAACACTTCTGCACCCTGATAAAAACAAAATCCTGAAGCACACACTTAAAATCACTGCCATCACTTTCCAATTTAACATTGTGAGGTGCCTTAATAATCAGAGACATAAAAGACAATTCAGAAACAGGCTAGAAAATTACAGATGGAGCCACTCAGCCAGACCAAAGCTACTTGGCTGCATACAAAATGGCCTCACCCTTCCACCAACTTCCCGTTTATTTTTTTCCTTTCCTTGTTTGTTTAAAAGAGTTCTCCTCTGTTGCAGTTTAACCCAGCAGGCAGCTCAGCACCATCAGGCCCTTTCACTCACTGCCCAGCCATGGGATGGGAGAAAAGGTAAAACTCATGAGTTTTACCAAAGACAGATTGATAGGACAGAAAAGAAAGGGAAAATACAGTAATATATTCTCATATTACTAAAATGTAGTAACAGTGTTCAAAGATATTCAAAAGAAGCGGCGCACAATGCAGTTGCTCACCACCAGCGACTGGTGCCCAGCCAGTCCCTGAGCAGAGCAGACCCACAGCCAACACCCTCAGTCTTCTCATTCATCACCATGCCACACGGTACAGGACATCCCTTTGGTCAGCTGTCCTGGCTGCGTCCCTCCCAGCTCCTTGTGCCCCTGCAGCTTTTTCTGGCAGGGCAGTGTGAGAACCAACAAGTCCTTGACTTAGTGTAAGCACTGCCCAGCAACAACTAAAACATCAGAGTGTTATCGACTTCATTCTCATCCTAGATCCAAAACAAAGCACCATGCAGCTGCTAGGAAGAAAACTAACTCTATTCCAGCTGAAACCAGAACACCTTCTATTAACAGTTACGGTGCTCCTGCTAAGAAGGCTGACTGCACTTAGGTAGATAATACTGATAAATTGTTATCTTATTTTAAATAGTTGTTTATCTCAACTAGAGAGGATTGCCTCAATCAGTCACAACTGTAAAAAATGTACATATTACAGAAGAAAAAGGGCCTTCAATTTTCAGATATATTTCCCTCTTCCTGCTGTCAAGATGGTAGTTGCAGTGATAAAATACATGCGCTGCTGTATCTAAAAAATGGTCATTGTATGAAGGTAAAAGTTCTCTCTCTGGAGAAAACATGCCTTATGCATGTACAGACAAAAGGAGGAATTTCAGCCCTGGGGATGAATAGGAATGGTATCACTTGAAGAATACACACTAGGGATGAATTCTGAGCTTAAAAAACAAACAAACAAACCCACCTTTCAAACATGAATACCTCCAGGGTACTAAACAAAGAAGAAACTTAGAAAGAAAAAAAATGGAGTTAACCTACCTCATCTTGTGTTCCACGCTTTTATATCTCTACAGTTGGATAGATTTTGCTTCTGTTAGAGAAAATTATTCCTCACTCCTACCCTTAAATCTCACTACTGTTCACTTTCCAATTTTTTATTCGTTATCTACACTGTTATCAAAGTTGGCAGTACTTCAGAAATGTTCATTTACGTGATGTTTCATGGTCTTATTCTGTAGCAGCTTTTGCTTAAAAAGAAAACTGTTATCATCATCTTTAATGTCAATGTAGTTGTATAGAGGAGCATGAAATATCAGTCCACCGAGACTGTCCTTTCAGCAATATGAACAAAACTGAATGAGAATTTGCTAAATGCTCCTAAATTAACTAAGCCTAAGATTTGTGAAGCTGTAGTCAAAGGAAGAAGCTCTAATGATACATTTCAAGCACACAGGAGATAACAGCATTCCAGCCTCCTGGAGGAGTTATAGCTTCTGGCAGAAAACAATGGGGATCAGTGATGGCACAACATGCAAAAGAGCACACCACACCTAGAAGATAACATGGATCAACTGAGCCCTAGCACTTCAATAGCTTGTAGTACGTCCAGTTACATTCTGTACATTGTCATACCTAAACTCTGCTCAAGTTCTAAAACAACTACCTGGTATCAAAGAAATCAGTAGAATAGCTTACAATAAATCAATAAAAATCCTGGGAAATAACAATAATCCTGAAATAACAATAATCAAGTCTGAACATAAAAGGATCAGATTGAAACTGCTCCTTAACAAGTATACTTATATAGTAATACTGTTTTTATTTGATTATTCTTCTCATTACTCATTGTACTGTTTAGGTAAAATTATCTAGATAGAGATAATTCTGGCTTGACTTCCTAGCAAAAGCTGTTGCAAAAGCAAGAACACATTCTCTTTGACAGATGGAACCATAAAGCCACTCTCATTGTAGCCTTTAGCTTCATCTATGTGTGAACCTGACTGTGTAAGCAGAGCATCTTTTCTGTAAGAACATGTTGTACAGGTATCAGTGAGGCCAGCTTATTCTGCAGTGTCTTGTTGGGCTTTTTTTAAGTAATAACTAATACAATAATGATTCAAGAGGCAAATTCAGACAATTTTTCTCTGAAAAGTTTACCATTCGTTGGTAAACAGTAAGTTTGTCTGTATCTCAGCCAAGCTGTGTAGCAGCTCTGATTTGAAGAAAAACACTGCAGGCTTGGGTACATGCCTGTTGTAAGCCATTTCTTGATAAAAAGTAAGGACCTTTGTTTCACAATATGACTAAAGCAGAACAGCACTGGGAAAACTGCCTCAGGAAGTTCACTCACAATATAAATCATGGTCAGACTTTCCATACCTTTCTAGACACAGGAACTCTTAAAATATCAAACCAATGTGACTAGAAGCTCAAGTGGACAAAATACTTAGCAGACGTTCTTCTTAGAACAGATGTGTAAACCACATACACCCGTACCTAATTCTCTTTACACACATATGTATTTTATAACAAAATCAGAGAACAGTCTGTTAATGAAATCTCCTAGACAAATGAAAAGTGACAGACAAGCTAGTTTTCATTTTTAGTGAGAATGAAACTGTAGAATTTCCGGTCAGAGAAAACGGTCCATAACAACAAAGATGCCTCTGGTTCTTACTCTAGTTCCTGCTCAACTCTTACCCATGCAGGTAGTACACAGATTTTTCTCGAGGTATTCTTACTTTGTTACAACTACAGGCTTGTAAATAACATGCATAGAACTCTCTAGGTCAATGTAATTATCAGGCAATAAGACATACCAAATTCTTTCCTGTGATGTTAATATATTGCTTATTGCAGTGAGATCATATTCTTGATGGAGCTTTACACAGTGTACTGCGCACTATAAACACTATAATAGTGGTATTAACATTTTTTTCCACTCAGCTTTTTCTTCTGTGTATACTGCAACCTTCTAACAAAGTACCTGAAAAATTAATTTACAGCTAACACCTGTACCACATGCTAACAGGCAGCATTTCAAAGAAGTGATATCTCCTTATGTTCTTGCTTTACTGGCCTGAGGCAAGGTGATGTCATTAACAGAGGGTTTTGCATAGTCTTCACTGAATTATGGATCAAGATTTTATATGCAGATTTAAGATCTCAGTACACAAACACTACCCTTAAAAAATCTTATCTGTTATCACTCTTAAGGATTTCAGAAGCGTTATCATTAATATCAGACATTAAGCTCACAATTATATTCTTATTGCAACCTTCACTTAATTTAAATTACATGGTGTGACTCACTGATCACTGACAAAGAAAAAAGTTCAAACCTTCATTCACACAATAAGGCTTGGGTCCCAGGAAACATGTCTCCCATCGTGCATTCCATTTAGAATTTCAACATCATCTTCTGCTATTGTAAAATCAAACACCTGTGGGAATGCATATGTAGTTAACACTATGAACACAGAGACCATCAGTAGCATTTCTATCATTTAAAACAAGACTCATTTAAGTTTGAAGGTAATACATATATCTAATTCTAATCTTCTGGAAATTATTTTTAAATTTTGTCATAGACAAACATCATTCTCCATGAGAATGATAGGCTCCACTGGGCTCCTTTACTCTTTTTGTGACTCACTTTCATTTGTAGTTGGTTTTTGCAACACCCTGGCCTCAAGCAAGGGTCCAAGAAAATAGTAGTATCTAAGGTCTCTTCTGCCAAGGAGAGTTATTAGAAGGTATTAGTACTTTCACAAAGCTATCAAACCAAAGGCTTTAATATGGGCCAATTAATACAGAAGAAGACACAGTTCTACAGTTTTTTAGTACTGATACTAACTTGAAAGCAGCCATCTGTCTTCATGTACAGGTTCTTATAGCCACAGGCTTCTCCTGTGGTGAGATCTGCAACATGCATGATGGTGACAGTGTTCTCCTAGCAGTTGTATTACTGGGACAATATCACTTCAGAACTGAATTTGCTTTCAGTTGCTCCATCATGAAAAGATCCTGCAGCGACTGAACTGCTTACAAATGAGCTCCCCCCCATCCTGCATTATCCAGCAATTGCTGCCTGCTCCTTGTAATTAAACTTCGGTCCTCAAAACCTTTTCCAACCTTACCCACAGACAAATCACAGAGCTATAAATACTATATGTTATATGCTCAGGGGCTCACTGAGGTCCCTCTTCCCCCATTTTGACTAGAAATCGTAGAGACTTATACCAACACATTGGCACACGGGGCTGGAGCAATTCCCTGTCTCTCTCCTCTATGATTTGAGTTTTCCTGCAATACAATCCCTCAGTTGCATTAAATGAATTGGTGGGGTCATAAAGTCAACTCTGTAAAACATATAATTAATCTGGATTTAAAGTACTGGAGGAGAAAAAAGAATATAAAAGAAGAAGAAATTCTTGTTTATTCTCTCTGATTTGGTTCACAGCACAGTGCCACAAACATCTGTGCTTGTACCACAGTCACAGCATGGATGTCAGAATAAACAGTCAGAGCAGGAGCTACATAAGCAGACACAGCCACCAGGAGAAAGCCTCACTGCATGTGTGGGAATTCACACTTAAAGCATACAGTGAATTCAGCCAGAGTCAGAAGGTTGCTGTCTTCTTGCTAAGTTTTATCCCAATTTGCCAAACAGTTCATACTCCTAACAGACCTGCAGAAGAACAATGTGTTTATGGTTTTAGGTGTTTACGGTTTTATGTGCTTATGGTTTTCCCCCACCCCTCTCCCCCTCGAGAAAGCTTTCATATTACAGAAATGAGGAGGAAGCTAATTAAAAACGTTTAGTATAAAGAGAGAGAGAAAAAAAAGGGAGGGGACAGGAGATACTGCTAATCCTCATTCCTTTCCCACTTCTTTGTGCACCCCCTGCATGTTGGGCCCTTCTCAGCAAGTCAGTGCAAGAAGGTAGGGGAAGAGTCAACCCTGATAGGATTGCAACTTCCTTCAGAAGTATATGGGATATCTCCAAAGGAGTTTTGTAGCTTTCATATCATGTCTTTGTACTATGCATAGCACACACATTGCTTCATTTTGATCCGTGAACCTACCACAGCCAGTCCACGATTTTCTACAATAAATCAGTAATAGATAAAAATATTCATAACAAAAGCTCAATGACGAAAGTTGACTGTCCAGTATTCAGCATCCAGGAAGTCTGCGGATATCTTTCTTGTACATACTGATCAAATCTCCAATTGATTTCTGACATTGATGAATGATATGCCCTAACTACAGGACAATGGGCAGGTAAACCCAAATTCTAAAAACAGTTCAGACATCAATTGGACTTCAGTGTGTAACCAAATCCTACCTTGCAATTCTCCTGTATCCTTTCTGCTCTTGTGGACTTCGGAATAGTCACAATTCCATTCTGGAAAACATAATTCTTGTCATTATTGAAGTTTACATAATTTCAAAGAAAATCTCTCTGCAAATCCTTTCAGATATTCCTCATGCCTTCTCAGGTTTTCCTCTCATTTTTCAGAGGACACTGCCATTTCCATAGGCCTTTTGTAATTGCAGTTGTATGCAGTGCGTTAACTGCCAACACAGATTATATCGTTTAAATTACTTCAATATATTATTTCACTGCTTAGCACTTTGTGTTGAGTAAGAGAAATCAAAACAATACTCCTTACTGTTTTTAAAATTTAGTTTAAAAACATCTATTACCAATTCCTTTCATTCTCTACAATCAGATTATTTTCATGTCTAAAGTAGTGCCTTGTTTTGTGTAATACATCTTTCTGCACAGCACAGTTAGATCACAGATCAACATACTAAAGGCAAAAAAAAATGCAGTATATATTCTGGTTTATTCTGGTACAAAACCCACTATACGCTTTTTTTTTTTTTTTCTTCTGAGAGAGGTTTTTATTCCCACCCTCCATTACCTGTATACTCCAGCGTATGCAAATCTGTGCCGGAGTTTTGCCATATTTCTTTGCCAGCTGAATGATACTAGGATGAGTGAGTGCTTCCCCTTTAGCTAGAGGACAGTATCCTTCAAAAACAATCTCTCTGCTCCTACAATAGTCCACCAGCTCCTGAGGTCTTTGGAAAGGGTGATATTCAACCTTAGGCAAACAGAAAAAAGCTTTTAGTAAAAACCTTCTAAGTACATATAGCAGAAAACATTGTCATTGATAAATGAAAATATTTTTGCCCTCTTGCTTTAAAAATGCAACATGAGTGAAGTTACTTCTAATGGGACATATATGGAAGCAATTAGTTTTAGAAGACGTGAAGGATAATAATCCACTCAAAACATTTTGCCATTAATTGGCACAGTAGTTTGCTATGCATTTTATGTTTACCCCGGAAACAAGGTATTTGGAGCAGTTATCTTCCCTACCTGCAGTTGGATCTGTACTCCTGTTCTGCTCAGTGTTTGAGAAATACACGCAAACGCATACTGGGAATCAGGTCATTTTTATGGGCAATTTGATACTCTTCCCCAAAAAGACTGCCTTAATTACCTCTTGACTAATGATCTTTTTTGAGTTGCACAGGCAAGAAGAGGAGGTGGAGCCTCCTTTTACAAGACACAAACCAAAAGAATTTGTCTAGGATGAGGGCCTGACCTCTGAAGCAGTGTGTTGGCATAGACTACACAGGGAAAATCCTGTATTCCATAAGCGGTGTCACCAACATATGGAGGAAGGAGTCATGCTGCGGAATGAACTGTGCAGGAGATCCTTGGTAGGAAGGAAGATCACAAATTGCCAAGAACCAGCTAAGAGAAGAAAAGCAACAAGCTACAAGGGCATCTACTGGAAAAAAAAGTTATTAGAAAGTAAGAATCTCAAGTCACTTTCTGGGTTTTTAATAAAAGCCAAAACCAAACCTCTGTAATAGCAGTCCCTTACTCCTTAAAAAATATTTCACAGCTTATACACTGTAAGAAACATACCTTCCTCTGCACTCAGATGAAAGTGGGTGGCATTGATTTTAAATAATAAAATACATAATCATGTGATGTGGCTTTGGCTCAGCAGCTGTCACCACTGTTCCAGTGATCTAGTTCTTGAGCATTTTGAAGAAAAGTACTCTCCTGAACAATTAACTCAACACATGGAATCTGGAAAATTTCTTCTGCCACAAAAGGGACAAATGAACATATCCTGTTTCTCATCTTTAGTACATGTTGTCTTTTCAGACAACAATAGGCAGAACAATAGGCTGGCAGTCATTCAACATAGACTAAGAAAAAAACGTGCCCCTGGAAGGCTGGGCTGAGTCAGCCTAACGCTGCTATGATCTAAATTACTAGGTGGACTCAGGAACAAGGTTCAAGCAGCAGACACATCCATGTCTTCAACCTTTGATGTTTCTTGACCTCCGAGTAGCCTTTGTATTTCATGTTTATATTTAAAAGACTGGTGTTTAGGTCATACAGTTACTCACTCGTTTGCAGCTGAGCTGACTAGAAAATATTCTCATCGTTTATTACGCAAAACTGAGGGGAAAAAAAGAATGAGCAAGCAGTTCCTTTCAAAACACTGATTAACAAAACCCAAAGCAAGCCTAATCTACTAGTTCCTTACGTGACTGAACTGTAAGACTGAGCATCTCAGAGCAACACCAGGTACTCTTCCAGGTAAGTATCATTTTACACTGGTAATTAGATATAGATACACAGTGTCTTCAAATGCATTAACACATCATGACTATTGGGATCTAATTAAAAACTTGTTAAGTACTGGCTAGAGGGTGTATTACTCAGTTATTTAAGCAGAAATAAGTATTTTTAGAGAGGTTCTCTGCACTAAGTGCAATAAATACTACAGCCTTGAAAATACTAAATACTTTTTTTTTTCCTACAGATAAATGCTGAAAAACCTGAAGCATCTCTATAGCATCAGGTGAGTTATTCAGCACTTACTGCTAATACACATGCAGTCAAGATTTAGTCATTTGTCTAATATGGGTTCAAAGCAGAACAGTTCCAGGCTGTACCTTAAGATTTAAAACCATAACAGTACATTGAGATGTTCCCTGTTTCTCAAGTAGGCTTTACAGCAACAACCACGGGAACATACATGGGATCGTTTTACTTTGTGCCTTTCACTGATGAGACTTCCACATTTCATGCACTGAATTCTGTCACGCTTTTTTGTCACTCTCTGTTGTGTACTGCAAGTATTTTTCTTCTTAAAAGTGTGACTAAAATAATCAAGTGCATGAAATGAAATAATTACTTCTGTTTTGTTTTGTTTTGTTTTTTTAATTTGAAACCTTTCTGGAAGATTCTAGCAGCATCTGAATGCAAGGCACCAGCATCCTGAGGCAGAGGAGACATAGGGCGGGGGGCCAGCATGTGCTTCCCCTCAAAATAATAATTCCTACTTCCTGGCCTGCCCCACCCTTGCTATTTCAGTCACCAAACTTCTCAGGCAAGGGATGCCCATCAAGTAGCTTAGAGAAAGATCTTGATCTATTCTGGCACTCTACCCAGAGGGATTTGTGTGTATAATCCGTCCTATTTAATAAAAGAGTTTGCAGTTCACATTACTGAACTCTTCACAGCTGCAATTTAGTCAGCCACCAGGGCACTGCAAAAAAAAGCACAGATTTTTTATGACAGTCATGCTGCAAAGGGAGAAAAGTTAAGCCTAACAGCAATCCTGATGCAGGGACCTAGACTCTCAGTAAGGTCCATGTGACAGAACACAACCCTTACTCATTCCACACCGCTGCAGATCTTTTCATGTGGATCTTTACCTGCATCTGGATTCCAGCCAGCTTCTCAAGCAGAATGTATAGACTAAAAATTATTTTTCCTTTAAAAAAGTGAAATTTCAGCCCAGAATTGAGTTTTCTTCATAAAGGAACAGTTCAAGTGAGTTTATATACAAATGCCTGAAAATCATATCATCAAATCCTAAAATGCATGTCTACCTCGTACAAATTTACATATTATGGCTTAATGTCAATGGTGACATTAACAATATTTAAGCATTTCTGAGATCATACCACAGCTAACTGAACTTCCATGGAAGTAAAAAAAAAAAAATAAAAAAATACTGATGAGCACCTTTGCACAGAATTTGGAGAGGATCCATCTTGTTTCAGTGTATTTATTGCATTAAATGTACACCAAGTCAACTACAAATCCTGCAACACAAACCTGTATCTTGTTTCATTCTTCACTGTTAGAATGAAATACTTAGCATAGAACATTTGACAGTACTTTTAGTAGTAGGCTGCATGCTCATTATCAGAAAATATTTAGTCTTGAAAAGGCTGGTCTTTCCTACTTTGGTAAAGAACATCACGATAGTGCGTTGGTTTTTTTTTCAGGAACCAAGAAGCAGCACTGCTTACAACTCAATTGGTATAACAGAAACACTGCTTACCACCTGGTACATAAAGACAGCAAAAGTCAAACACACAACTTCATTTCTCCTGTCTTCCTACTTACTTCTCTTCACAGACAAATAACTTTCAGTTTTAATACCATAAGAACTGTTGGAATTGCACAAATATCCTAAATTCTTTATGATAATTTAAAATAGCTAAACAGAAGTGATTTTCCTTCATTTATGCTTTAAATACTTAGAATTTCAATGTCATCATTGCTTGCAAATGTTTTGTATTTAAAAATAAGTTCACTGAAAGAGTAGGCTATCTTGTGAGTGTACACAGCAAAGTTCTTTGGTATCACAAATACTGGGCAATTAATTTGGAATTAATTATAGCACTTGCCTCTATAGTGCTTCAGTGATCTCTTCATCAGACTCAGCAACAAGTTCCAACACTGAGCAAGGAACAGCACTAAATATTCTTTTGAAGATTCCATAGCCCTGACAATTGACAATTAATGCTATAATGAAAGTGCTAGGAGTGGAGCAGTTTGCAGCAGTACAGACATTTTTTATTTGGACGTGCTGTGCACTACTTTAAAAAAAATGACTACTTAAATACAGAGGGATAAATGGAATAGTCCTGGGCACAGACACAAACACTCAACACTAATCTTTCAGAACCACTACGGTTTCAACTTTTTGACTCCTCTTTCAGCCACAAAACAAAGGACCCCATCAAGAAGTAACTTCTGTTAGCAATGAGACTGGTAACGCTGACACTGTGGGTAAGAGGAAATTTGCAAAACAATTCCATAATTATACATTTTAATCTGTAGTGATTTGGTGGGACACTGAAAAGCTACTCTTATTTAACACAGCAACAATGTCTGCCAAGCTCCAAAGTAAGGTTTGAAGAGGTATATTTCTGAAAAGATGACACAACTGAACCTTGGCAAATTCACCCATTCTTTAACAGGCACAACCTGGTGCCTGATTTATTTTGAATAACTGAACTTTAGTATTTTCCTTCTTTTTAAGTATATTTTACATTACTCACAATTGTCCTTTAGCCTTCTGTCTAGTGATCAACAAAAAGTAGAGATGTTCTGTCACACTCTGAGCAATCCTTTTATGCCTGTTTCTAACTTCACACAATAAAAACCTGCCAAAAAAGCCTCTACACCTGCTGAAAAGGAAAAAGCATGTGTCTGTACCTCAGCCATTCCAGTTCCCTGTTCTATGTTAGCAGAAGTGCACTTTCACTAGCAGCAAGTGGTAGGAATTGGAACAGCTGTCAGTGTCCTGGAAGTCTGCTCATACTTGGTGACAATTTAGTGTATCTCCTCACTGAAGAGAGAGCAAATGTACCAGTACATGGTACATGGATACAGTATCACCTCAGTGTTGCTTTGAGAAATTATACTTAGTATTCAAGCACAGGATCTCCAAAACTTTGTTTACTCTGGAGACACTAAATGTTTAGTGCTACTTGAATTTTTTCCTCAACTGCTTTATCATCAAAAACTGAGGCACTAAGCATTTGTTTGGGCCTTAAAACCAATCACTGACAACTAGCTGGGAGAACACGGGGGAATGAAAGGATGAAGAATTTTTTTTCCCCAGTTCAAATTGCCTTCCTGAGTGGTTTACAATGCATGTATAGAAATGAAAGAGAGGAAATTGCAGGAGTAAGGCTAGTTATGTTTAGTCTTCCAGGCACCAGGATGGGGAGGAGTGGGTTATTAACCCAAAACCATAACTAGATTCTTAAGTCTATTTCTCCACTCACCTGATTAACATGTGGGGTAACCAGACAGTCTTCCTGTAGTTGCTCAAGATGACTGATAAGAAAGTTGCTGACGCCAATTGATCTACACACACCTAACAAGAGGAACAGGAAAAAAAAAAAGTTTTGGGATGATTCTGCTTGGGAGGATTGCTTGAAAAATATCACTTTCAAATGACAAAACTATTTGTACAGATCATTTCAGTACAGCAAAACAGTGCAACGTTACACAGAGAAACACCACCAAAATGTACTTTGACAGCATTATCTGAAAGCATGGTTCTGTCAGTCACACTAGGAAATCATTTTATAATCTAAACACACTGGAAACTCCCCAGTGTATAAAAACTCTGGGCTAAATTCTGGGAAAGGCTCCTGCAGTGTAAGCAAAGAACAATTGGATCTCACCAGAATGAAAAGAAGGAAATGGTGTTCTGAACAGCCTGCCAAAACTAAAGAAAAGTGGAACATTTTGCAGAAGACTAATAAGGTGTGAGCAACAAAACACAAGGACACACAATTCAAATGAACTACATAACCCTGCTTTTATTCTACTAGCTTTTTACTGAGATGTTACATAAAACTCAGAATAAAAACTTGAAGTAATAACTAACAAGAACCAAGAAGTTAAAATGTGTAGGAAGTAGAATGTGCAGTAGAATTAGAACAGCCAGGTTTCTCAACCTGACATGCCAATCAAAATACAACGGTATGAGTGTTCTAAAGGCTTTTTTTTTTTTTTTTTAAATAAACTCTAAACGTGCATGCATGTGAATTAAGTGTTGACAGTTCTGAAGTCAGACACCTCCCTTCAAACCCCAAGTATGATAAAGTACAACTCCCAGAACAGGCCTGCTACCACACTTCAAACCTGACTACTCTTTGACATGTTGATCCTCTTCTGCACTAAACACAGCTCATAGGGAAACCATGTGCAACCAGGCTAGCAGCGGTTTCCTTAGGCTGCAGATTCTGCAGACTATTAATCAGACTCAATTCCTTAGTAAATGAATTTACTGACTGAATTCACATTTCAATCTGCAACTCTGCCTCAAGTTGTGTGCACACAGGAGTCCCATCAAATTCTGCTCCCAGCCGATTATATACACAATGCACACCATGTCTTTACGCGTGTCCTCTCGTGTACAAATATCTGTATCCACAAAAAGAAAGGAATTAAGCCAAAAGTTATAGTCATTGGCTAACTTCAGGCACTTCATGTGAAAGGAAAGATTTCTGGACCAAAATTCTCTTTATCCTGCAGTTAGAATTGCCCTGTTTTGAGGTCAGCAGGGAAGTACATGGAGTTGCCTTGATACGGAAGTTCAAATACAGATGCACAAAAAGCGACTATTAATGTAACTGAAATGTGGGAATACAAAAAAAGGAGGAATTCTGCTTGATCCAGAATGAAGTTAATGAAAACACTGGAGGAAAATATATAACTATTCCTAAATGTTAGTTAGGAAACCATTCAGAAGATGTGTACGTGTTTTATGTATTAGAAAATAACACACTAGTTACTGGTGAGTTGTTGGCATTTTTAAAAATCAAAAGGTTAGATTTATGTAAGCAAAATAAATAATTTTTTCTAGGCTTATCCTATGAAATTATGTAAGTAAAGCAATTACAGTAAGCACAGTTATAGGTAAAGTTACAGTTTACTGCTAGTTGTTAAAAACACAACGTTAAAACCCTTAACAATAAAATTTGCACCACCACATACAAATACAGGCAATTTGACTGTTCTGTTTTCACGTATTTTAGCAGTGAAAGCAGACAGACTTATTGCACAGCAGCAATACCATGCATACATACCATTGCTTTTTAAATGCGTTTTCCTTTGTAGAATACAAAAAGGAGAAAAAATACATGAGCAACTACATACTAGGCAGCTATCACTCGCAGAAATGAACACTGTTCAAGATGCATAAAATAATTAAGTTACAGTCTGCATTACAGCAATTTATATAATCTGTATGTAATCTGCCAGAAGGGGAAAATCCAAGCTTTTGATTTGTACTGACAAATTACCCTGCAGCGTCAATATTAATAAATTATTTTGACAGAGAAGTGAGAAAAACATTTACATTTTTAATACAATGGTGAACCAAAATATTATACACTATTGTTGAAAGCTAAGGAGGTAAAAAAGCATGCTTTCAATTTGCCCTTAAGAACAAAGCTTTTATTTCAGGCAGAATTATAACAAAAAATCTCTTAGATAAAAGATAAAAGCTCTTACTAAACTTGTCCATTCCCACAAAAAAAATCATAGCTTTTTTTTTTTCCTTACAGTATTTTTTAAGACGTTTTGCTTCCAGCTGACTCTGAGTTATCTGTCTCATACACTCTTTGCATTCACTGTAGGTTTTTGGCTAGAGTTCTCATCAAGAAATTTTGTATCAGTAATGCTTTGTTTCGAATCTTAGCTACACTTACTAAAACCGATATTAAGACACTTCTATGATTAGTTGCAAAGGCTAAATTCCAAACTGCCAAGAAAAATGAATATTTTCCCCACAGAACAGAACAATAATGACTAGAATTTTCATATTTTTGTGGAAACAGCACTTTCCCACCTTTTAAAGGGATAACGATTGAACCATTTCACATTCATTAAACCTAGGTATTTTGTTTTGGTAAAATTAGAACCCTTCATTTCAACTTCATTATTTTGCAATTGGTTACAGTCTTATACAGGAAAATTGAAGTGCTTTAGCTTTGATATTAAATTACAAAATGAAATGCAATAAATATGAAAACTATTAAAGTCCGACTGTATTAAAAACTTTATTTCAATGCACGCTGGAAGCATGAATTTGAAACAATGGAATCGCCTGAAAAATGCAAAGTCCAGATTTCAACCAACAAGCAATAGATTTTACTTCAGAGAATTGTTTCCATCCAGCTGAATGAATACCACCATTTTTGCCCTAACTTGTCCAAATCTGGGAAAGACTGCTTCAGAGAACGACATTATAGAGAATTATTTTCACAACTGGCACTTGGTGGTTTAATTATTATGAATGGGGATGGATTAATGGTTGGACTAGATGATCTCAGTGTTTTTTTCCAACATTAACTATTCTATTTTATGATTCTAATGAAGAACTAGAAAAGGATGGGCACAAAAATGAAGATCTAAACCCATTACCTGTAACAATGTATAACAAACAGGATCCATGAAATGATTACATCAGCACTGTAACAACAAAAAAAATTATACACCCTGAGAAACTCAGTTGTATGCAATAGTTCTTTCAGTACCTCAAAATACTTAAGAATAGGTAGCAGATTTCCTTGTAATTACTGTGCTTTGCTCAGGCACCACAAAAATGCTAAGATTTGGAAGAAGCAGCTGAAGATTGCTCTCACTTACGGGAACATTCAAGTAGTGTAGCAGGTTCCCTCTCATCTCAGCCTTTCCCTGACAGGAACAAGGTGCTGGTAAGACATAACAAAGAAAGCAAGAAGGGCTAGAATGTATTTATATCAGCTAAGCCTTTAAGATGTAAAGATTTTTACGAGTATGCTACAAAATTTGTAGAGTACAATTTGTATTAGAGCCCCCTTTATGTGAACAAGAAAAGGTGAAAAAATAAGGTTAGTTTACCAGAGAATTAAGTGTAAATGCACCCTTGCATATATGAAAATATTTGCACATGTGCACTAATACATCCAGTTTTGCTGAAAGTGGAGACCAATAACAGTTTGTGTAACAGGTCTCAAAAGCACCAGAACGCTCCAGAAATTAGGCAAAATAAATACATCTTCTAAGCAGGCATTGTGTTGAAATACATTTCAGTCAGCAGATTGTCTGGAAGTCAACTTGTTCAATATAAAAGTTCCCTGAAAGTTCAGGGAACTTTTATCCCTGAAAGTTCAACTTTTCTGGGATAAAAGCTTAGAATGCACTAGCTGCAACCCTCTCTAGAAAGTACCTTTCTGAAAGATATACTGCCTTATTTAGAAAGTGATTCAGGGAGAGAAAGTATCCTCCTCACGTGCTTTTGGGGAAATGAGTGGTTTAGCCCATAGAAGATTTTGACAAACTGAGATGCAATAAGCAACAAGTATGCAAATCCCTGTTAGCTAGTAAGTCTTAGTGAGGCTTTGCCCTGCTCTGTGACTATGCACAGACTTCAAGGCAACGATGATGCTTCTACAACTGCTAATAATTGACTGACCAGTGCACAATGGTAGAACAGAAATTTTCAGCCAGTTTGCAGAATTACTCTGACTCTGAACGACACATTAGAAAACATATCAGAAGGAAGAGAAGTAAGGTCTTCTCCATCATGCACATTGTAAACTTGGCCTCCACCATACAGGTAATTTTACCACAGTGTTACTCCCAGCCTTTCTATTAGAGTGGTTCACAAGTAGTTAAGTATAAAGCATTTTTAAAGGCAACCTAGAAAGTGACTGGATATTTTTTCTTTTACTTAGCGTAACATCAACTTAAGCGGAGTTCTATGGACACTGCTGCTGGAGCACAGCAAGTTCCACATCGATACGCAAAGGAACTTCTTCACAGTGCGGGTGACGGAGCACTGGAACAGGCTGCCCAGGGAGGTTGTGGACTCTCCTTCTCTAGAGACAGTCAAGACACTCCTGGATGCATTCCTGGATGCCTTTGCAGGGAGTCTGGACACAATGATGTTTGAAGGTCCCTTCCAGCCCCTATGATTCTGTGATTCTGCTAGCCTTGCAGCAATGAAGTATAAATACACAGTCTTGGCATCACAACACTATTTTAATGCAATAGTTAGCCCTATCTTTCCCAAGAATATTTATCAAACCTCTAAATACTCTCTGTAACATTAGCTGTACAAAGTTGAGGTCAAGAAGTTTCTGTAAACGACAAAATTGGACACTGGATTTGCAGAGCCAATTTTCCTCCCCCTGCCTGCTCCCTTCACCAGTCAGAGACAGGAAAATTCCCACAGCACGAACAGTGCCCGTTCTGTTACATGTCCTGTTCAGGCCACAGAATAAAAGCACAAAGATCCACTTTTCACAAGAGGTCAACTGTAGCAACTGTATCTTTATTACAGGAGGTTACATAGGTTGGAAAAGCCCACAGCCTCTG